AGTGGTTAACACGTCAATATGTTTCTCAGCTCACAACTATCGTCACAGTACGCAAGTACTAGCCCAACCAGCAGCGAAGAGTCGACTGCTGAGTTGGAGAACTCCGGTGCGCACAAAGCTAGACAGCAAATGCGTCTTTAACCAGAGAAAAGTGTGGCCAGTAAAATCTGCACCCATCTATGATCAAGTATCTGTCGACCACGTCGATCGCTCACAAGCGCACGGTGACTATCATAAATAAATTAATTTTTGCATATTATCATTATTGTGTGCGGCGGCGCGCAATCTTTTGCCAAGAACATTTTGTTAATAATTATTGTATCGCGAGTAGTGTTACGATCAGATTATGACCTATGTAAAGTCCATACACTCATAAATATTTCCTTAGCATACATTTGTGAGGTGACTCATATATTTCACACCACCTGATCTACCGATATTAGGCTGAGTAACTGGCTCGAACAAAAATAGATGGCGCAAAATTGTAATCGAAGACGCTGTTTCATAAAGTTTATTGTTTAGATAAAAGTGATTTTCCGCTCAAAGAGTGCCACTACCTTTATACATATACGAGAGGTGGGACTTGTAAAGTTTGACGTACTGACGCAAGGTCTGTAAAAACGCTATAGGTTTTTTATGAGAATGAGGTTGTATTTTTGTGCTGTGTACTGCATAGAGAGAGTTTAGTGTCATGCGCTTGGTATTGTGTCGTAGTCGATCAAGTGATTGAGTAGGTTTGGAAGCGTGATTAGATTCAAACGTATCAAGGTCTGATAGTTGGATCCCGCTCATTACGCTGCGCTTCATCGCAATATTAAAATCAAAGACGGATAAAACGTTATGGCACAATGATCTACATCAGGCTGTCCTACCTTAATTATCTATCGAGGTACATAGGGTTGCGTTATTTGTTATTTACGATCCGCCACACACTCCCAGCGATTCTTTTCAGAACGGCAAAGAGGTGTATCGATAAAAAATGTTATTTAGTTGCGCAAGATAGGTAGCTCAACGGCCGCGAGAACAGAAGATTGAAATACACTATTGTAGTATATGCCGGACCGCGATTGCGAACCGAAGGAAGATACTGTAATTATATCACTTAAGCTCTGCATCAGGATAGACACGATTTACGCTAGACCATATTTGCCGATTTGTATCTTAAGGTCGGCTGTCACGTGTCGTTTACACTAGTATTGACATCCTTTTGTGTGACTATATACACGTAAGACATGAATGCTATCGCGTACTGCGGCCGAGATTATAGTGCGATCAATTTTAGTTTACTCTAAATTTTCGTGGATACATACAACGTTTGTCCTACGCAATTCACACGCCGCTCGTTCAAGTATTACCTTTAGTATCGTTAAAATATAAACGAAATCAATACATTTATATTTTACACACGTCGCTTCTCTTCCGGTCAGGTTGTATGGCTTCTTGACGTATCCGTTGTCATATTTGTACAGGAGGAAGTCACTGACTAGTTTGTTTAATGACGCAATCGATTTCAAATGCATCTCCGCGAAAGCGTGAAGTAGGACACAGCAGAACAAAAGGTAATTCACCATAAATTCGACGGCTTCAGTGGTAAAAAGATGTAGCAGGTTCAGGTACCTGTACATTTTGTATATTTGACGACTTCGAAGCAGATCAAGACGACTCCGATAGAGTGTTCGGTCAAAACTTGCGTCGGAAACATGACTTCCACGTGATATCTCCGTTTAACGATTAAAGTTACAATCAAGATCACGTTCTCCTTTATTCTACGAGAACCCTGCATTCCGTATCTAGATGTGTACACAAAATGATACGGATCCTTGCACCTGCGGCACAAGTACCTTTCCTGGTAGTATGTCGTCTAAACACTGCCAAAAAGTCTGTATCGATGACATCGCTATCACCACAACACCACAATATCCGTATAAACGATTTTGTTCAGTATGAGAGTGTTAATGTGAGACTTGTATCGCTCAGTCCGAATTTCTTATACGACTATTAAGATATCAAATAGGCTAATAGGACACGGTTATATTTTTCATGCTCCTTTGTCGACTCCTTATAGCTAACTTTTTCCTCGTGAACACAATAATGCAGGTCTTCTTGATCATGACCTGACGCAGAAAGATAGTGCATTAATATCGTTTTATGAGATGGGAATCAAAACATCGCCAAAGTTGATGCTGGACGCAAAATTGGATTGTGAGTACAGGGGCCTACATTCAGTACATTCTTGACGGTGGCTTACACTAGCTGAATTTTTAAAGGCTCATTCATGCAGGTTTCGGGCACCTACTCCCTATTGTTTTAAATTATGGTAGCACTATCACAGCGAGATCTTCCCGATCGATTCTTTATTCGATCTATGGCAACTATGTAGCAACTTTCGTGCAGCCTGTATCTCCATACGTTTGTGCTGTTAGGTATTGGATTAACTATAAGTTAGCCCACTCCAGTCGATAACCGAGTTTAGGCCCATCGAATTTGCCAGCGTTTGCGCACAGCCGCCGTAAGCTTATTTCATAGTGTAGCTATCGTCCACGCGGAGGTCTTGTGTAGTCGTACCATGAAGTGACCTATTCTGAGACCGCGATCATCACCTTTAGATAATTCACAATTCCGTAGTCGCTCTAAGATCAAGTAGTCATTTGGTGATGAACTTTGTTATATTGATCGACGAATGGATGCTTTCAGCTGACCACCAACTCGTTCCTATAAAGACATTGCAATCTTGGGACGACACCACACTTGCCGTCCAGGTCTAGAAGAGCACATTCATCTTCGAGATGTGAACGTTGTCATGTGTGGTTAATCGCACTACATGCCTTGTTACCAAAACAGATCAGCCTACTGCTAGACACTTAAGTCCTTGTTGAAGTATGTTTGCGCTACATAAGTCGATCTGATAAATCGCCTATATTTCCGTCAAAAACGCCAAGGTTTTCGACTCTCTATAATCAACTGGGTCATAGATGTAACGGGGCAGCCCGTTACATGGAAATTGTCATTTGAGAGATTATGACAATAAATAATATTATGTTGAATATTATTTTAACAATATCACCAATAGTGGTGATATTGATGGGTCGACCAAAGAGTCTGCTCATTGGTTGATATCTTGCTGATATCAACCCACCAATCGCCGCAAGACGCACGCAATGAGTGGTGAGTAGACGTCGTCATACACTCAGTTAGGTTAACATAATTAAGTTAAGTCAAACAGAGAGACAGTGGTTAAAGACTTAATTATATTAATATAACAGTTTTACTTTTCCCTAAGACAGTGTTGCCTCTGTCTTACCTACCGCTTCCTCGGTTGCCTCGTGTACGCTTGTCGGTGCACGATACCCTTGCGTTAAGTTCACGCAAGGGTATGCCCCGTTACAATAGAGACATATCCTACGTCATTCCGATCTCCTAGACGATAAAGATATTTGATTACAGATGTAGTAGCACACATTCATTTATACATTGGTGACAAAAAATGTCAAGATATCTGTATAATGTGTTGATATTGATAATTCAGTCGGGATTTCTGCCCCTACTGTCCTTATCCGATTTGTACAACCCGCAGCGCAGTTGCGACTTCGCAGCAACGTCTGGCCCACGTATCTGACCCATCTATGATCATACGTGTTGAGTGCTTAATGAAACAGGTACGATGTCATCATCCAAATAAGCGTAATGTCCGATCTTGGGAAATCAGTCAAAATTTAGTTAGTCGTGCGATTTACGGTCTAGATCTATCGCTTTTAACATAACGTTTGTCAATAGATCTAAGGCATTCACTTCCTACCTTCTGGCAAGCCGATTGAATGTCGAGGTGACATTTTGTGTCGCAACCTAAAGAACTATCAACTTGTCGAGGAGGTCGATTGATCAAGCCGTTTTGACTACACTCAGTACAGACACCTCTCACAAGAACTATGCGCGAGACTTATGATGGGCAAACCAATCTTGCGTTTGTCAGGCAATGGCCTTACACGCGATGCAACTGATAACTTCCGTGCGGTTGGGCACAAGCGTGCATACTACGCTTACTCTACTTTGAAAGAGATTATAAGCATAAGCCCTTGAATTCGCACATGGCAGATCAAGTTTCTATTACAGCCCACCTTTTTCATACGAAAATAATTAGGATGGGCGCGAAGCTTGCGACATGAGGCCCAATCTTTAGCACGTCCATCCAGAATGGATGGACTAAGATTCACTTTTGACGCATCGCATTCAGTGTGGCGAGCTTCGATGCGGTCGTCAAGTTTGATGAGGCATTCAAACAAATAGTCGTGTTCGACTGCCAGAATTTGGAGACGGCGTATCTTCAAGCCTTCGGGTCGACACACATACACCAGCATAGCAGGGCTCCACCACATGTGGGGTGCAACATATCATCACCCATTACGTCCACGGTGGATGGGTCCATGAATGTTAGACGAACCACAAAGGCCAACCAGTTGTAGTGAAGCACTTCACACTGATGACGTGCAAACAATCTCCTTTGGCGGCATTTTCGGCAAAAGCCTTGATAACTTACATTGTTGTGCAAAAGACTTTGATTAGCAGACAAGCTCTATTGTATGGAGAAAGTGAGCTGCATTCAACACAATGGAAGCGCCATAAACGCATCTGCCGTCAACCTACTTTGATCATATCTGACTACGAACATGTGCATGACTAAGTGCTCACCACTCATCTTTTGCACATTTATCATCGATTCGTGACCTTTTTGCTTGATATACTGGCCTTATCAGCCCATGTGCAGTGTGTTGCCAACTACTGCCGACTGCCACTTTGAACGATGTCGTTCTAGCAATATCACCTTCAGAGGGAATATGTGTACAATCTGATCTGCTACGATGATATTCCCATTGACAGTTGCTCTACTGTCAATGTCACGTAAACAGCCTCACTCTGTGAACGCATTAGTAGATTCATCGCATCTGTCTGTGCACTCGATTTCCACCGTCTCGTCTTCGACACCGTGACCACAGCTCGGGTCCATGAGGACGTGGCAGGACGAGTGGAGCTGCGCACGACTGTCGCTACGTCTACGCGATGAACAGCTCTTTCAGTGTACGTACGAACTTATGCACTGCTTGAAACGCTAATGCTCCTGTCGTGACAATTCCTTCATATTGACTTTGTCAGGCGAAACAGTGGACCTGCAAGTGTGTGCTGAGACGAGAATACCGTCGTATAGGTCCAAAGCTCTTGAGGGCAACCAGGAACCACAGACCGCTGCACAAGTGCTGCAGCGCTGGCAAGAACACTTTGAAGGAGCGCGTGTCCACATTCGGATCGAGGAAGTCTCTGGCACGGACCAAAACCTGACAAGCCGCTCCGTGTCCTGTCTGTCTACTTTACTTCGGCAAGAGACACGCGTTTCTCATGTCGTTGAGGGTTCATCGGGGAGCAGCCATGGAGTCGTGGTGGTGCTGCTGCAGGCCCAGTTTGACCTGGAAGTCTGTCACGAATTCTGGGACCGATCGTTGCTGCTGGTTCTGCACATTACACCGAACGAAGGCGTGTTCCAAGCTGATCAAGGGAACAGTGACGATGTAGCCACTGGTGTTGGAGCGAGAGAGTCTTTTTGGAGACCTTTGCTGCTACGAGACGAGTGGGCGAGCTCACACCTCCTTTCACTCACCCGTGAACAGGCACAGCCAACGCTGCTAATGACGCGTCGTATCGAGCAGCACATTGTAGTTACAAAGCCGTTGCGTCTTGTGCTTGAGTCCCGTGAACTGGCTGGACAACGCATCGGGATACTAGCTCGAGTCTCAAACACACATTTGACGTTAGCAGTGGCAGTGAGAGACTTGCGTCTTCATCTGGATCAGTCGTCAAGAGCTCAGAACAAAGATATGAGTCGTTTTCGCATCGTGAATGGCGACAAAGCATCCAATCCAGTTGTGTTGGAACCTCAAGAGCGCTACAACTTCCTCTTTGTGTTGGAGCCAGCAAAAACGTTGATACTGAACGAGTCGCTCAGACTAGACGAAGATAACCGGGCGACGTCGAACGCATCCGTGTTGCGAAAGGAAGTCATGTCACCCGTATTGCATGTTTCGACGTCATCTGCTCCTCAACGTACGTCACTCACGCTATCCTGGAAAGCAATGACATGCACAATGGATGCTGTCACAGAAACTTGCACGATCGATTGGTTTCCGAAGGCACCTTCGGAACCATATGCCTCGCCGTCAAGTGGCAAGGACGAGCTTGATATGTGCATTCGAAAGCTCATGCCGCCTCTGGTCGGGGGACATCTGCAACGAGGCAAAAAGTTCCATGATGATTTTAAACGTGAACGACTTCTTCCGAACTCGGTCTTGCAGATGACCGTTGCCCCACTTGCATCGAACGTATTGATTGGAAATGCCGTGACGGCAAGTGTGGTGGTAGTGAATCGCTCCACACGCACCGAGTTCGACTTGACGTTATTGCACCCTTCGCAATATATGGGTATCACCGACGGGGAAAACAACTGCACTACACCAGTCGTCGTGGGATTTGAAGGCTGTCAAAGATTAGGGTACGTTGAGCTTGATGGTGCGAAATCCTTGACAAAACAAACGATAACGCTTGTCGACTGTCATTTAGGTTGGTGCGTCCAGGCATGAGCGTCGAACGGAGGTTGCGCATTGTTTTTCTACGATTGGGGAAGTGCAAGCTGGGTCCGCTAGTGCTGGCTGACCACTTTACACGCACATGCTTCGTATCTGACGACTGGAATGTTTTCGTGAAAGACTGAACGAGCATTCCGTCGCGCCTTCTCTATGTGCTGTGCGCATCTGCTTAGCGGCTTGATGGCTACTTGCAATGGACCAAATGACATCGTGCATGAGTGGCGCCGTTGTAAGTGTGGGTTTTTCTCCGCTAGCAAATGCTTTCGGTTTGCTGACTGGTACATGTAGAAGCGTCAAGGACGAGGGTGCTGTGTGTGAGTCGTTGCTATACCAATCACTTATGCGCGACGAAGAGATTGCGTGTGAGGACGAGGCAGAAAAGCGTGTGTTGGCGCTGTACACGCTGACGATATGGACAGCCATGAATCAAAGAGACTCGAGAAGACATGGTACAATGGGAATTACATGCCGTCTTGGCAAACGCAACTGGTTGATCTGGACAACAGACGAAGTCAATTGCGGTGGTGTCGATCATAATCTTTATTGCTCCTGCATTTGTGGAAGCGAGCGCAGCAGATGAACGTAGATGTTGAGAGCAATCCGAAAAGGCGGGTCAGCTGGCGCGAGTTTACAACGCGAATGCCGTCTAGCGATAGAGGGAGCATGAAGTCTGAAGTGGTACATTGGATGGTCCGAATGGCCAACGCCACAAGAAGGAATGGCAGAGTCGGAGGCGAACGGGTCAACATCATGCCTTTGATCAATGGCACGCTTCTTTGGCTTTCCCGTGCAAAATCTTTGGAGAGGGTCATCTCCACCTTATTGTTTGTATCATGCACGTGGAGCTGCACGCCTGATGGCTCTGAATGAAAGAGTCGAGGATATGTAGATTCTATGCTATCGAACATCACGTCAGCTTCCAAAAGAGTTTCAGGCAGCAGCAATAGCAGTCAAAAGAGAAGATGGCGCCGCATGAGACAGCAGCAAAAGCAGATATGGGAGAGAAGGCACCGCAAGAGACAGCAGCAAAGGCATTTAAAGAAGGAAACGATGCCGCAAGAGACAAAGCGTCGTCTGCCATAACATTTGACAGCGAACGCTGTGGCATGACCAAGACAAAACTTTTGCTGTTCACGTTTCGTATTGGCAGTCCAGGAGCGACGCTGCAACACTGGCGAGCGTTTGGTCATGTAAAAATATACCTCGCTAGCTGCCAGAGAATATGGACTCCATCGTAAGTTGGGAACTGTGCACTCCTGGTGAGCTTCAGTCAGACGGTGTCACGAGTCTACTTTTGCATTCTGTTGGAAGGTTCCGTCGAAGTCGTGGATGCTCGTTGCGAAATGCATCAACAGATTGTGCGTCAACTTGCCACCTTATTCCGACGATTGCTTGTTGTAGTTGGATCGCTTTGGAAGTGATAGTGGAGATTCGCATACGGCTTACGCCATATTGCACTCGTCACCTGTGCGCTACAGGCTCGGGCAGTGGCGATATCGGTGGGATCTAGAATCTCCTAGCCGTATGGTCATCCTCAAAGCTTCGCCTTTGATGCAATTGCTGGCTACCATGACACTTGCCAGCTTCTTCTTGATACCGTCACCCGGGTGTTGGAGTACGCCAGCTTTTCCTCGCTATTGTAGCTGTCTCCGCCGTCTGATGTGGCGGGATGTGGGTCACTTGTGCAAGCGCAGAAATACACGACTTTGTATGTCTGATGAGGTCCGTTTTAATGGGATACAAGTACTACGCGATTGACGCAGATATTCCTACGAACAGTTGTTGGAACACCATAGCTGGTCAATGTCGGTCTTCCTGTTCGCAACAATCTACAAAAAGTGTGTCATGATGCAGTGAATTGGTCTCGTTGCAACGGGCTGATACGGCGGAGGTGCTGTTGCTCGCTTTGGGATGGGCAACAATGATGCTCATACGGTACGTCGTCATCATAGTACCCGAGCCCACGCACATGGTCCCGTTCATTTTGCTGCTGCTTTCGGCAGTAGTTGCCATGACGCACCCATGCGACCCGGGTGTTGATCAACTACCGCATTTTACTTTCTGCGCATGACGAGTCACATCAGCGCGGACGTTTCGGATCAAACGAGTGTTAGCTGCACATGGAAGACTTGCACGAGAAGATGGGTATCCAACATGAAAACGGTGTCCATATCCCTTCACATCATAAGAACCGGTGCATACACCACAAACTACGTGTACGTCGAACGAAGGGAGCGCCGTCACTTACAGCCACGGGTACCACGTAGGATACATTTCCCGCTGTCGCTCTGGGCTTGTTGCCATCTCGAGCAGTTCTTGTACATTCTTTCCTCGCGGAGATTTGTCGTTCTCCTTCTTCAGCGATACCCCACGGATTCTCTCCATTACGAGACCCACGTTTGCTTCCACGCGCTGCTGCACTTGGAGCTCCACACGACGCTGTGCCAAAGCCGGCGAAGCAGAACCAGTGGACGCGTTGGGCGACGATGCACGTCCAGCAGTTTGCGATTCAAGCGACAAAAGTCGGGTTTTTGACGCGTGCCATGAGAGCAAATCGTCTCTGAAGAAGAGACACAACTGGTTGCTCAGGATATCCTCCTCATTCATAAGGGCTTCCGCAGTGGCTGTCATCCCGATACTGAACGGTCCCTGTACTCCTGCGCGTGTCATAAAGCTGTGGAGGTTGCGCGTAAGGCGAAAAGGCATTGTCGTCGCTGCCTCCAAAAGCCCACTGCTGGCATACCCGGGACGTAACTCCGTGCTCACTACCCGACCTGTGCGACGGGAGAAAAGCACGCGGTGAGGCGCGCGGTCTCCAACATAGAGCGCATACGACAAGAAACTCGACAGTGCCAGGTGCTTCGTAAACTCGCTGCGGAACTGGAAATATGCGTCGCCGTGCGCCGAGATGCCGTGTACGTACTTGGCCAGTAGAGTCTCTGGTACGTGCTCGCTACAAATTTCGTGGAAAGCACGGGCTTTTGCCTGCGCAACGCGGTCCTCCTCCTCAATATTTCGGTCACTTCCTGTCCCTGCGGCTGCAAAAGCTTCGCTAACACGCTCTCGATAAAGCTCCACTGGAACGTCTGGATCCTTGTTCTCGATTTGACAATCAAGTTCGTAGATTTCGCCAAGCGTAACAAAGTCACGGTTGTCCTCCAGCAGCCGTACCCGTGGTGTCAAAGGAATCACCTTCGGTACGTGGAAAACTGTATTGCGTTTTCTGGTTTCCTTGTGGCGCAGCAGCAATCGATTCAATAGTAAATACATCTGCATCATCCGTTCATCGGTGCGGGTAATGTGCGTCATCGCGTACTGTACCAGGAAATAGTAGGGCCGGCCGTCACTACCACCCATTGCTACACGTCGCTGAGTAAACCCGTTGCGCAACAGGACGTCCACCGTGCTCTCGAAGTGCTGGATGCGCGCGTGTAGATCCTTGATAGGCTCGCTGTCCGAGACGTACTGTCCCGGTACCTCCATGTTGGAACTGCTGAGCTCCATAAGATGACGACTGCACCGTTCTAGATACAGTCTCCCGGCGTTCCGTTTGCCCACCTTCTTCACGCGCAGCTGCAGTAAGCTCTTCCATCGCTTCAAGCGATTCATGATCTCATACAGAGTTATAGCAGCCTCGCCTTGCTGCTGCTGAGCACGTTCGTCGCCGAGTAGGGTAAAGTCACGCTCGAATGCGTTCTTGAACTCCTCAACGAAGGCCTCATGGTTTTCGTTTTTCTGGTGCGGAAGCAGCACAAAGAGCTTGCGACACACTCTTGCAAGCGCAGCACGCAGCATCTTTGGCACGGGTTCTGTCTTCGTCAATCTTGAAAGCTGGTAACACTTCAGCAGAAGTGCATGGACCGCCGTGAGAAGCTCTTCTTCTGGCTCTGGTCGAAATCGGGTAATCAACTCTTCCAGCATGCACTCCATTTCGAATGTAAGGGAGTCGTGTGATCTGCGCAAGAAGTTCAACAAGTCTTCCGTGTATTGTACAGGGCCTACCTCAGCCTTAACTGAGTGGCCATCACCACCATTGTTGCGAATCTTTTCAGTCCATGTATCCAATGACAATACGACACCAGGTGCTGCATTAAAAGCTGCGGGTGTTGGGCAAGGCGGACCAACAAGTCCAGGAATCTCCTGGACTCGTGCGATCGGCATAGTCGATGGAACTCCAACAACGTGTCCGGACTTTGTTCTGTAGTACACATGCGCCATAGATGGAGACACCGCACCTGCGGAAGGTGACAAGCCTGTCGCTGCACCTGATGGTTGTGCTTGGTTAGTAAGCATCATTGCATTGTCACGATTCTCGAGAAAAAAAGCTCGCATTGTGTAATACAGCGCCTGAGGAAACTTGGCCGAGAGACCGCGTAGCAAGCCTCGAATTTGGGGTGCCTCTGGACGTCCGAGTGCCACAAGTAGCTGCGGGATCCATGTGATCCATATCCATATCGGCAACTGCTTTCCATGCGTCTCAAACGCCTGAATTAGTATTCCACGTCGGTCGTCCATGTTGAGCAACCAGAGCACACGCGCAATCATGAGACGTGCGGAGTTGCACCGGTGGTGAATCGCCTGTAAATAGCACGCGATAGTTTGTGAAGCCAGAGTGAGATCTTTCTGTACGAGGAACAACCGGTAGCAATAGTGTCCCCATGAAAGCCATCCTTTGCCGTAACTATCGCAAATCTGTAAACAGTGTGAAAATGTCTGGTTGGCTTCCGGAAGAGATTCTTGTGCCTCGAGGAAAAGTGCTTTTAGCCGAAACATCTCCGCCTTCTGCCGAAGGCTAAAGTAATCCAAATTGGTGGTGTTCAGAATGCTGAGTCCGCCGGAATATTCTGTAGCACTCTCGTAGCAAATGCTGACTTGCTCACGGAGCTTCGAGAACGCGTCCTGCACATCCATGGCTGGGATCGAGTACAATTTTGCAAGCGCGCCGAGACAGACATCGGGTAGCCGCTGTTTGCGAGCCGTATGCGCGAGTTTGATAACCGACCACGGACTGTCGTGCATGCAGGCAAGCACCTGCGCGTCGCTCCACGCAAACGTGGTCTTGACCACTTGGAACATATGTGATCGCCACGTTAGAATATCATCCCAAAGAAGGATGGGCTCCCACTTATTTGGCAAGCGCTCTCGCCACGTATTAATGGACGGCTTCAGGTTCGGCAGAGCCGCGTGTTGTATACTTGCAGACTTGATGTCTTCCATCATCTGGATCGACTCTTTCACCTCCACAAACTTGTGAAACAGGTGCATCAGCGGCAAATGAGCACGAGAAAGAATACGTGGTAGTCCTTGCCATTGGTGCAGCGCTAGCTCAGCGGTCTGAGCAGTCAGCGTATCAATAACACTGCGCTTGTCTGCATCGAGAATTGAAATGTACAAGCGCTGTAGACGAGTCTGTGGACATCCCAGCTCTGCTGACGACTGCATCGATGGCAGTAATAGCAACTGCTTTGCCGAAGCCCAGTCTCCACGTTTCCAGGCACAATCTAGGAGCAATTCCTGATTCTGTGTCGACTTGGCGAAATCATTCATGAGCTGCCATTGACATAGTTGCTTGGCACAACCCACCCAGCGCTCCTCCCACAACCTCAACTCAAATAGATTCACATCCTCCGCACAAACACGCCCGCTTTGGGTCTTTGAAAGCGCAGAGAAATACTCCTCCTGCGCTTCATGGACACAGCCAAGCGCTTCCAAATTCAGTGCTGTTCGCGTCTCAGGCTGCTCAACGTGTTCAAGACTTAGTCCGATACGGAGATCGTCCTCGCTCAGCTGCTTGTAAATCGCACTAAGGGCTTCAATCCATCGCAGTCGGCTCTCCATACTAAGGTCCGGTTTTTCCACGTGGAACTCGCAGAGCCTCAGGGCGCAGCTCCACACGTCATAGGCCGATGCAATGTGCAAAACAAGCTCAGGCGTCATCACTGGCACACTAGGGCTAGTGCTTACGATTCCTTTCATTAGCGTCTGTACGACATTGGTACGGCGGGGAGTTGACGTACCGAGTGGCACATTGAGGTCACGCTTGTTGTATTTGGACGCCAGAATCTTCAGTAATTGACCCGTCATCTGCACTTGATCCGACTCTTTCAGCAAATTCCACACTGCGCTGAACAAACTCACCCATAGCTCCTTGGCTAGCTCCAAATCAATGTGCGCCAACTCACGTAAACTCAACGTGAGCTCAGATGATTTCACCTGCCCGTAGCTGTCGAGAAACTTAGCGTGCGTAAGAGCTGAAACTCGGTCTGCTGAAGAGGTTCGAATTGGCGCGACGGAAGCGATTGGCTGCGTGGTCGGGGAGACAGCCGCCAATAGCGTTTCGATTGCAATCACAGGCCAGTACCTGGTCCCACAAGCTTGCCAATCTTGGCGAAGCACAAGTTGCAGTCGTGCCACGGGTCCTGGACCGCTAGCTGCAAAGAAAATTTTCAGGAACTTCTCTCGTGTTGCTGGATCTGGGGCGAGCAAGCCCGCCATAAAGTGTGTCGTGAGGCTATGACCCTGTGTTGTTGGATTCAGGTGCAACAGCGGAACGTGGCTGCTAGAAGTGCCCGGCGATGAGTTGCAGAGCTTCAGGACCAGCTGATAGTACTCCTCGTTCAGCGGAATAGCAGCAATTTCGTTGAGCCGATCAAAAGTTGCCATCTTGCCCAGCAAGGTCATTGTGTCTTTAGCGGTCAATATTTGTTGATGAGTGTCAGTTGAGACAATCATCTTCGCCACAATTTTTGTGATCTGAAGTAGCAGCGGGATATTGTATGAACCCTCCAAACAGTGGACCAGCAGATTCTTGTAGAGACGACGGTGTTCAGTCGTCGTGAATGTACACTTTGCCAGCAAAACGTAGCACAAGACAAGGAGTTCGATCGGCCTCTTGCCATCACCATCCACAAACCCACTCTGCGTGTGAGCGTTGCTCGTACTGGTCCCCGTCTTCTTTTTCATAGCACTGCTCGCTTTCATGTTTGTTATTTCGACCCCAAAACATTGATCGCTAGTCCTGCCTTTTTTCTTTGACGCAGATTTCCCATCGAACACTTCGCGCTTATTCACAGTCTTATTCACTGCTAAGTTGCATCGTCCCGCCAACATTTGGTTCCATTCGTTTACAATCGCTAGTGACGGTGTAGCCATCACTCGATTTCGTCCAAACGAATCCACAACTGCTTGTCCGCTTTCCACCCCAATGGCTGTGTCATTGCTCCCGCCCTGTTTCCCACCATGAGTACCTACACCTCCAGCGGTGGCTGGCTGAATTAGATGCTCCCGCGTGAACTGCTGCGCTAATTTTAACAGTGCCGGGGCAAAGTGATCGATGAACTCTGGCGTCACCTCGGCGAGGCCACTCAAGAGCTTCAGCGTGAACTCACCGGGATAGCTCGAAGGCGATACGATAGCCCGGGGATGTTGTGAGAACAGCAAGCGCATGCGTGCCGCCTCGTGATTGATCAATGGGTTGATACCGCTCGGATCCTTTTGCTGTTCACCTGGAGTGCCGCCTACTACAGTATTGCTACCGGGTCCTCCCTGCTCGTTAAGTTTTGACCCGGCCACACTTTGTGCTGCATTCTTTCCCTTAAACTTTGAGGGAAACACGTTCGGTCCACCGGACAAGCCTGCCCCGTCCACGCCTAAGTCATGCTGAAACATTGCCGCGTTTACGAGACGTTCGTTGATGATCTCGCGAAGCCACGGATAGAATTTACAGGCAACCAAAGGTTGAGGCGCGCGAGACGGCGGATACAACTATACAAGCAAAACAGGTGAGCATATGACGAGAGAGAATCACGGCACAAAAACAAAGCGATCACCACGGATGTCACGTGGTAGTGGCACATCACATACCTCTGCCATTCGACGCAAAAACTTCGTCAGACCCGCTTGGATTTCATGGCTTTGGCGATCAAAACACGGCTCAAGCAGCTTCATTATACGCGGTGCGTACTGAATGGCATATGGCGTCGGGCGTTTGGACATCGTGACGACCTCAGGTGAGACCAACGAGTTCAGAATACCTAGGACAGCGTCGAGGATTGCAAGTGACGACAGAGGCGCACCCTTTGGAAGAACGAAGAATGACGGCATCACTGTCGGTAGCGATGGTGCTGGAATCGAAACTTGTGGTCCCGTGGCTCCAGGGTCGGCAGTAGTTGTAGTAGTGCTCATACTAGCCTGCAGCTGTTGCTGCTGCCGGAGAACCGTTTCTGCGGTTACAGCGATGAGCTTGTCAAAGTAGGAAAAGCGTATGGACGCTGACGGCCACAAGCGAAGTGCTTTGCCAAATAGTTCGCCGCAAGTTTTTGCCAATCGACTCGTTTCCTGCTTATCCGCAGATGCAAGCGCAAAGCGGAAAGCAAAGTTGATCACCAGATCTACCATGGCGCCACTCAGCTCAAAGTCGTCCTCGCTGTTCGCCACCCGATTTGCTTCGAATGGTAGCGGCGCCGTGACTTGTTTTTGTAGCTGGCCAGATCCCGTATTCAGCGTTTGCTTCGAAACTTGATTGTCCAATGCACTACTGTCAACTCCATCAACATTCTCCCTCGTCTCGATACCCAAAGCAGGTGCACCTGGTGCGCACGTGCCTTCAGATGTCAAGACTTTCCGTTTCTTTGCGGCGTGGTCTTCTGGAGTATTCCCTGACGCTGCTACTGCTATACTCGTGGCGGGTAAACTCCGCTTCCGCTCTACACCAAGGCCTAAAGCGTTTGGTCGAAAACAAGCACCTCGCATCGTTAGCCGATCTTGGCGTGTCTGCTCCCATGAAATAACCAAATCCACGATATTCACCGCCAGCCTACGATTGTCTGGCGTACTACTTGGAGGAATTGCCAAGCGGTTCAGTGAATTCACCATGAGGGGAACAAACTGGCCGCGGAACGGATAAAACAGTGCTGGATGACGAACTATCAAAAACCAAATATGCACCAGCTGTCCGAGCACATGACCTTCTTCGTACGCAATTTTCTTCGTCCACTTGATGGCTTTGATAAATTCGTTGGACGGCAGCCGATTTGGCAACGCCGGCAAGAGAATGTCGAACGCTTTGCGTACAAGAAAGCGTGCGTCCATTTCATGTGTCCGCAACAAAGCTACATACACTTGCAAAACAATTTTTGGCGGAGTGTCGTACACCGAGATGAATCGGCATACATTCACGTACGCCCAGAGCTTGGAAGTCAAGTCATGGGCCTTCAAGTGGTTCCATGCAAACTTGATCACTTCTTTCCGGTAGTCCGTTACGTATTTGCTCATGTGCTGAATGAGCAATGTACCTAGCTTGAGCAATTCAATTTGAAGGCCTTGCAGTGCATCCGGTGGGGAATCCTTGCTTGCCAGAATCTCACGTAACATCCACATTACTGTATCGAGGTCCACCACGTCGATATTGTTGACGTTTGGATCCTCAAACGATGCTGTCAACACGGGCATTATCAACAACTGAATAGCATGGACCTTGAGCTCCTCGGATGCACCTGGTTCACGAAGCATGCGCAGAAATAGCCGGACGAGGTTGCGCTTGTTTGCAGCACTGTATTTTGCCGCAACTTCTTCACGGTAAAACGCTTGCAAAAAGCTATAATCGAAAGGCGTCCGGTGCAAAAACACCGAGACCATGTCCAGTAACACTTGCACGTCTTCTGGCTTGACACGACTATACGCGATCAAACACTTGATCAGCAATTTAGACTCGAGGTGGAACTTGATAGGAAGTCGATCGTGTGCAGCAAGACGCTGGACACGGGCTGGCGATCGCCAAAGCTTCCTCAAGCAATCGACAATCACCGTCTGTGACGCCAACCACGACGGGTGGAGTTTGCTGATCGATCGTATTAATCGCAATCCTTGGTAATGCAGCTCCAGAGCCTCCCTCTGGGCGCTGGATGCAAATGGCCCACTGCTGACCGCGGTTGAGCTGTCACCCAACACCAGCGACCCTTGACTTTGAGCTCGAGCGAGTTTTGCCTGGGCTTGGGCATTCGCACGATGCACGTATGTTGCCTGAGCCTGTTTCGCTTTTTCCTGCGCTTGCATTGGCTTCAATCCTTGCGCTTGTGCAGTTGCAAGAGCTTGAGCATGCACTTTTTGAGCGTTCACTTGTATTTGTGCTTGCAGTTGCTGTGCTTGCTGCTGTGTGACCAGAGAGTTCATCGCTGGATTAGGCAAGGAAGCTTGCATAGCTGCAGAAGAAATGTGGCTCTGGGCTTTAGCAATGTATTCCTTGCTGGCGAACTGAGCTTTCGTTTGGGCTTGTACCAGCGACAGTCCTTGTGCCTGTGCTACTGCAAGGGTCTGCGCGTGCAGTTTTTGTGCGTTGGCCTGGATTTGCACTTGCGACTGTACCTTCAAGGCTTGCTGAGCACTCACTTGGGACTGAGCTTTCACTACATACGCCGCACGAGCTTGTACCCCGCGAGCCTCTGCCGCCGACGCTGTCATTCCTTGAGCCTGAGCAGTCGCTACTGCCTGTGTCGCCGCTTTCTGTGCATTCAACTGGATCTGAGCCTGCACCTTGGCATCACTTGACGCGCCGGCTCCAGCATTTGTGTCTCCGAAACTACAAGCGGTAAGCTTAAGCGCCGCATTACACGTTGCCTCTAGTACCGACTCAGCTCCTCCGTCAGCAATGATGACCGCACGAAGAGGGGCCGCCTCTGGCAATTTAACCAGTTGCTGGAAAAGCGACGAGTATTTCACTTCGACCAAATGCTCACGCTTTAAAAAGAACGATACGGTCATGGACGCGTAGCGATTCAAGAAACGCGTCAGTGGGATTCGGTATGGCGAGCTCATTTTGCCATAGCTTCCGTACTTCGGTAGCACGACCTCAAGATCCACCACGCAGTTTATGAGTGGCTCTAAAAACGCATCATTCGGGGGTAGCAAGTGAAAAAGATCCACGATCGCTGCTGCTACAGCTGGTTCTTCTCCTCGCTTCCAAATTCCTGCTTTAATAATTCGGTCTGGATCCCGCCACTGCTTCAAATGTTCCAGCAGCTTTTCTCCAAGTGTCACGTTGAAGCAGCTGCTCAGCAGCGTTAGAAGACGGGACAATCCTTCAAGCAACGGTAGCTTGAGCTTGCGGTAGTCGGCCAAGTTAAGAAGCACTGGCCGTAAACATTGCTGCAGCAGCTCCTTCGGCAGAAAGACATCCTTGTTCTGCTCGTTCAGCTGGATCACATCTGTCAGCGCATCCTGAGCTACCTGTACCAGCTCTGAAGGTTGGCCCGTCAGGTACCGAAAGAATACACCCACAAAGCGATTACGATACTCCGGGTGCTGATTGAGGTCATCGGGTGCTGCAAGAAAGGCTGCTCGGAGCAGTTTTGCGGCGGCAATGCGCAGTTCACACGCTTGTGAGAGTCCAAACGGATACTCCTGGGCCGAAACACCTGAGCCAGGGATTGCCGGTGTCGTGTCTCCGATGCTGTTGAGACTTTCAGCCCCAATCATCGTCACTCCATCGCGCTGCGAGTCCTCCGAAATCAACTTCCACACGTCCTGAAGAAAAGTCATTATCTCTTTTGTGAGCGAGAAGATCGGCGGATCTAGTGACAGCGTAAACGCCATTGCGTCCACATAGCCTGTTCTGATACTGCTGGGCAGCATGCGCAGATTACACCCGGTGATCTGCTTACTGATCAATTGATGGTACGGATAGAGCACCGCTGAAGCAGTCGTTTCTCGTAGCGATGCCACGGTGGTTACGCAGCGCTTCGCATACTGTCGTGTCGGTGCATTTGGACTGAGGAGTTCCACCACAAACATCTGAAACACCTCGGTATCCTGAAAGGCAACGCATGACAAGAAGCCTTCTATCTTGACAGAATCGTCACCAAGCTGGTCCACATACCCCACACGAACATTCCAAGCTGTCCTCACCGCTTTCACTAGAGTCTCACCCGTCTCAGCACTTATGGTCGTACTCAATTCCGGTGGATGATCCGAAAGGACGAAGAACAGCGCTTTAAGTATCGTAAGCTCATTTTCGTGACACCACTGAGGCTCTAGGGAATCCACGAGAAGTCTGATGCCGACGACACCTCCCAGCTTGTGACGCCAACTGCCCTTGGCGTAACATCCGTGCACAAAAACTTCGCACATACTATTAAACAGCGCACCCCCACGTTCCATGGCTAACCGTGGCGAGTCAAACTGCGCGACAGCCGTTTGAATGATGGAAACAACAATCCCTGCTGCTGCATCGACGGTGCGTTGATCAGGGGAGCTCAACGCCACTGCTACTACTTGCACAAACGAATAGAAGTCGTTCGTTACGTCCGCATCTACCATGTTTGCGGCACCATATGTCGCGTGACGTATCGTTTCTATTCGTTTTGACGTTGCCAGATTCCGCCCGGGTGACAAGCCTCTTGTTGCTGCATACAGCGTCGACGGATGCAACGATGAAAGCACAGTAACATCGGACTGTTCACGTAAGCACTTGGCCAATGATAGTAGTGTCAAGTGACCCGCAATGCCTTTCAGTATTTCTTTCGCCTCCGAACCAACATCAACATCCACTGTCGTCTCGAACAATACTTGTAGTAGCTGTTCACGTGTGGATCGTAGCGCCTCCTGCAAAACTACCCCCCGTTCGGGTTTCACATGCTGTGCCCCCACGTCGTTTGCGCCAAGCTCATTTTTATCCACCTCTTCGTCGACATCCGCATAGTGGTTAACGTTCAGCGATACTAAAGCAGCGCGAGAGACAAACGCGAAAGCGCTACGTTTATGCCGGAGAATGAACCCACCAATTTTTCCTATTGTCTCCGTCTCCAATTGAAGCGTCTGGTCATCTTTCTCAAGCAAGAAAGAAGAACTAGCCACATTGTCGCTTTCTTCAAACTCGTCAGCATCTGCAAGCCGCGAGTCAAATTTGCTAACGCTATTGCTGCGCTCCGCCGAAGACTTTCGCAAGTACATGCGGAGTACTTTTGTTGCCTGCGAAACCAGTACATCCATCTTCATCGGAAACTTGTTATTCATGGTGAGTATGACGCCATCGCCCATATCAATGTCATTGTCGTCCCCCTTTTCACCCCATTGAAATGTAAACGTTAATCTCGTAAACGAGTGCTCTTGGTAGTCTAAGTTCAGCGGGTCCATGAGGTACTGTCGATTGCGCCCGCCGATTTTTCCAAGAATCCGCATAGCTAATTCACCGTACGGATATGGAGGTGGGATGAGGTGCGTGTTCAGCGCCTCGATGATTTCTGTCAGTAACCGGTCCTGAGATGTCATGATGGGATAAAGAAAGTCTGGGTTGAGATTATCCACCCAGAACTCGAGTGTCCGGAGCCCCAAGTACGCGAGCTCACCACGCGATAAGATCGCCCGCACAACCGATTTCATGAGAGAAGGAAGGTACTGTAGCAGCGAGCTTAACCTTGCAGGAATCGTCAAGCACAGCTCCAGAAGCACTTCCTGCATCGCCGGTTTGGCCATGTGCTTTTGCAACCGCATCAAAGCTGACAAAACGCCCGGCAGCAACGGAAAAACCTCCTTGTAAAAGTTTTCGTATTTGCCGCCTGATATTGACCGGAATAGGGCACGAAGCAATAGCAAGTAGTTGTCTGGATGCTTTGTAAACGTTGCTTGCTTCAAGCACGACTCGATAATCGTGCGTAAATGCGGAAATAGCGCCGACTCATTTGATTTAAACAGTGTGACCGAGCCAAAGACGATCTTGAACAAACGAAGTACGACGGACGCACGGTGCACTTGGAGCACCGGTCGCATCTTTTCGAACTCCAGGTTCTCAATCGTCATGACCTTTTCCAGTCGTTTGGTATCAGGTAGGTTTCCCTCTGCCTCCACACTTAGATCCGTCATTTGTGTAATCAAGAATTTCAGCAGAATCTCGGCAAACCAGCAGCTTACATTCGAGTTAGCCAAGAAATGCTGGGGGATCGTCAGAATGGCATGGTCTTGGAGAATGCACTCATAGAGTAGCTGGATGTTCGAGATAAAAAGGTCGCGAAAGTCCGTTGCTTCCAATACGGTGAACGCGCCAGCAAAGTGGTCCAGCATTTGCTTTTCCTCTGATAGTGTGTTTTTCGATAGTGTGTATAGAATAAAGCATCGCAGTCCGTTGCGAAGTACTTTCACAATGAGCAAACGCTCATCATCAGTCAGTGGGTACACGTGCTCGCTCCCAAATGCCCGACTCGATAAATTTCCCACTACACCAGCAAAGTGCGCACCTAAGCCAGCATGGATCCCTTGTGAAGTTGATACGGCAGCCAAACCACTCCCCTCCGCGGTATTAGCGTCAGCAGACGACAAATCCTTGGCATGTGGATTTCGGTAATTGGCTGTGCACCAAATTACAGCACGGATGCCTAAGATCATTGTCCGCAACAGTGACTTGATGTCGCGAATACTTGGTTCTTCCTCAAAGATGGAATCTGCGGGACGCTGAGCGCGCATGTGGGGCAACAATAGAGCCTCCAACTTCCTCTCGTACTGCGTTTTCTGCACAATGTCGCGCGGGAGCAAGTTCGAGTGCTTTATTTTATCCATGGCGCCTCCTTCCAACAAGTCGTTTCTGTCCCCGCTAGACTTACTGCGTAGCGTCGTGGCAAGAGCTGTAGGCAGATGTGCTAAGGTCGTGCCGAACTTACCCGAAATAATTAGCAGAATGCGTGAGAGGATATTACGGCCTTTCCACGCATCGACATCCTCATTTTTGGCACTGATGTCGACAAGATTGAGCAGCAGTCGAATGCTGGTCGTTTGTATCGAGATGGGCAGAGTCGGGTCGTGAATCCGCTTGCCATAAAATTCCACGATGGCGCTCACTTGCGTGAGTGTTAGCATATCTCGAACGTGATGGATCATGTCGGCAAGGGTCGAGTATGCCAGCGGGCGAATCTGATAGAAGCTGCAGCGTCCTTTTCCAACAAGCACGTCATCATTCATGAGAAGCTCAAGCTGTGGGTAAAAGCCTCGTCGAAATTCTGTGGAAATGACGTGTCTGGCGGCCACGAAAATGTCCTTTCGCAGCACGAAGGCATCTTTTGGACAGGCGACAAGCAATTTCACAGTGTTCTCGCAGATAGCGTCTTGAAATGGACGCATAAGACTCGCGCATCCGCGCAACAGGTATGTCACGAACGACAGCGTCTTCACTTGGCAATCCAAGAAGTCCAGATACCGCGATGGATGCGTACTAGTGGCCGTCTCGGGCGCGCGCAATGCCAATGCCGACATCATCAACGGCACCAGCACTGGTATATAGCTTTCAATATAGCTCGGGTAACATTGAAAGAGCAGCATGATAATCAGTGGCAGTTCCGAGATCGTCTTAAATGATTCCAAGTTGCTGCACATGGGCTCGTCCGTAGCTTCCTCTCTGCTTGAAGTAGTCGTGGAGCTAGAAACATTATTTTCTAATGCTGCTGAAGATGTGGAAGGCACTGTTGTTGCATTCGTTTCACCAGCATCCGTTCTTCCTTCACCTGCCATTGCATCTGCTTGCTTTGTCGAATCCATCGAGGTGCCACGAGTTGCACTGAGCGTTTCCACCCCCGCTGTAGGCAACTCGATCGTTGTTTCTGCAGCCGTAACTGATAGTACTGAAGCATTTGTAGCAGGAAGAGCACTTGCCGTCGTTGACACGTAGCCGGACTTGAGAGTATCTGGTGGCTCACTGAACTGCTTCTTCACCGTCGTCGGTAAGTTCTTGTACATGAGCTGGACGAGCTCCAAAAATGGCTGCACTTCGTTGCGCAGTCCTGGACGGTAATTCCGATGCAAATCAAACAGCGTCTTGAGCGCAATCAGTGCGTTGTCCTCGTTGTCTTTCTGCAAGACTTCCATGAGCAGCTGCAGCAGCTGCGGGACATAGGGCCGCACCGCCTCATTGCTCGGAAGCCGATTGATGATCTGCAGCAGCACCTTACGACAGCGATTCGGCGTCGTAGCCCGTCGCTGTGGCGGTAACGTCTGGTGCAAGAGGGTTTTCCACACAGGGAAGAGCACCTCGAGGATGCGGCCGAGCTGCGGCGTGTGGAGAATCTCGGCGCGACGATACAGATCGACGAGCTCCTTCAGTACCGTCTTCGCGTCGCTGTCCAGTAGCTTCTGGCGCACGACGTCCACGTTCATCGTCGTTGCTTGACGCTGGTTGCGCGAGATGTCCAAGTGTCGGGCAAGTCGAGTGCTGTGATTGGCTAATATCTATTTTGTCGTGAGTTGGACGGAGCGAATCAGATACCGCATGAACGTGAAGCCATGTGCCGAGATCTGAGTTTGCACAAGGGATGCATACATGGGTACAATGTACAGCGGATCTACTAGTACCACCTCTACTGTATCACAACACGGCTTTATTTAGTACGGAACGTGGTGCACTTGACCGCTTGCGACGGCATCGCATCGGGTAAATTGGTTTGTCGTAGATTCGTTGTAAGGTGCACGAGGATCGATGCCAGAAAACTTCTGCCACGCCGCCATGGATCGCTGCGTACCGAGTGCATAGGCCTCCATCTGCTCTAGCTCGTCGTCACCTTGAGCTGAAACAGACAGCCCTAGTAGTCGTCGAATTCGCCGATTCGCCTTGTTCATCCCACGTTCTCGCTCTTTGTCCGTAGTGTCATCAATCGATCCAGAGGACATCGGCAGCGGTGGCTCCTGACAACGATATCGACCAAACAGCACGTCTTCGTTGGGCGCGTAGAAATCGTAGCCGCGAGTCCAAAAGCGCGTTGCTCGCGCGTACTCGTATCCGGTCGAGATCAGCGGTGTGTGCGGATCCGAGCGCACATCCAAGAGTGCTCGAACCGGGCCAAAGTGGAACACTTCGGAGTACTGTGTATGCAACACGGGCGCAAACAGTGCAGCACCTTGACGCGGGATCGGCTCAGGAGGGTTGAACTCGACCACGGCATCTTCCGACTTGGAATGAATGCGTGCCGAGCACTGGACGAGCATGGTCGAGTTCGTCAGTCCGCGCACATCAATCGACTTGGGCGCGACGCTCAAGATGGCCATGTCATTGCCCACACTGTACCATTGCTTAAGCAGCACGAGGTCCCACATCTGTGTGAACACCACAACTGCTGGATCAATCGAGAGGTAAAAGGCGTCTATAAACTCGGGCTGGACCATTCCTTCAGCCAAGTATCGCGCAACAGGTGCACCAACTGCTCCTGACGCGTCTCTCCTCTGTGCGCGCAGTTGTCCGGACCGCAGAAGCTGCTTGCAGTCGCTCTCCTGCCACTCGCAGAAGCGCTGCACACACGTCGTCTCTTGTGTCAGATAGAGCTCCTCAAACACGCAAAAGTGCACACGCGAAGCTGAGAATGCCGTCGCACGCGCGTCCACGAGCGCTTGAGCACATGCGTCGCTGTCTCGGAAATGAGTGAGCACCAGTACAATCTGCTTCTCGTCGTGCAGACCGCTCGCCTTGCGCTGCTTCTCCACGTAATTACTCGCCTGATCTTCGTTGACCACTGACACTGTATGTGCAGTATGCCGCCATGGCTCGACGTGAGGCGGCACCACCGTCGGGTACAGCGATCCTGCGTGGAGAGACGATACCTCGGACGACGGCAGCTGCATAGAGAGACGCCAGATCATCAGGACACACAGACAGAGCGCAGCGAGCGTCGCGCTCGCAATCACGCGGCGCTGTCGATCGGCGGCGGCTTTCGTGACGCCTGTGGAGACGACGTTGTGGCGCCGCGTCTGGGGGAGTCCTAGCGCGGACATGGGCGTCTGGAGTGGCATGATCGATCGCATGCAGCACTATCGAAGACACAGAGGAGGAGGAGGAGCGGTCGAAGCCGAGGGTATGACTGTGCAAGAGGGTCTGTCAAAGCTGATACTGTCCCCTCCCCTCGCTCTGCCCCGCTGGTAGCCCGTTCATCAGAGTGTGGTAAGAGCGGTGGGGTTTGGGTTGGCGGTCGGCGCGCTCGATAGGGATGCAATCGCTGTGATTACTATCGGAAAAGAGAGCTGTACAAAAAAAGGAGCTACAAAGTGCGCGGGCAGCGACATGACCGTCACCCATTGGTGTCGCTAAAGTAGGTGACGGAGAAGCACTTGTTTTGCAGGCGGAACAGCACTTGTTTTGCGGTATTTGTATCTGGGGTAACAGTGCACTTGCTTGGAGGTGCAACATATCGAGAGATCTGTCGTAGACAAGATGGCGAAAGAAGCTGCATGCAAGTGTTGTTGCATGAGAGCAAACAAGCTAAGGAAGTACAAGGTGAATCATGAACCAACCATTCTTAGACCGCAACGAGTGTGGATATCGTTGTGGTCTACTGATGATTTCTGAGTCCGGTTCGATTGACCTTAGTAGGCCAATCGTATGCAGTGTCTTTCAAGTTCACATAGACACGGGCACGCATCATATGCGAATACGGGCCTGACGCATTTAGGTGATAGCTACGTAAGGCACAGTCGTGGACACCTTTACGTGGCAGTACATATCGCGTATTCGCACATGCGCGATATTGCAGCGCAAAGTAAGTGGCGCCTATATGTGAAACTAAATATGGCTGCAAGACCGATAGTAAAATGATTCGGTAAGGAAGACAGAGAAGACAATTGCATCTGGGATGCAGATCCGCCCATCTGCAGTTGTACTTCATCTCGATTGCATGAGACCAGTGATCACATTGGTGAAAATAAAGCCTCATTCGTAAATCTGCACAGCTTTTCACGAAATAGGTCGACCAGAAAATATGTCCACAATTTGGATGCTTCGAAATATGCACGCGACCCTAAAACGCAATAAATGAATCTTCTTCATAAACGGGGCCGTGCGGTGATGCAGAACATTTGGTGAGCCCATGCTGAGCGAGCAAGTGCGAGAAATGAGATCGCGGTTGACAACTGGCACTGCTCATCCATCAAAGCGTGCGGTGTCGGTGTTCAAGAGACAGGCTGTGGTGGCCGCGATTGTCGAACGATCGATCCCGGCTATGCGATGTTTGGTGTCATCCTTGATGACCATGTGTCACTATCTTCTGTTTGTCACGACAAGAAGTAGAGAGTAGCGTAGTGTATGATTACACTGCACGGCACCTAGCGACGTATCGGCCCCATCGTCGCTGTAGATCATATGATCAGGTAGGTCCAGGCTTCAGACAACGCTGTTGGCTCTTCGTTGACGACACGTGTAATGAGTGACACATGTCCATTTCTTCCGCGCGTGGAACAGTTGTAGAACGACCAGGTTGGAACGACTAGAGCGTGCCTCAAATTGATCAGCTGATGACCGATTTCGGCGTTGGTCATGGCAAAGCGCATCTGCTGCGACTCTGTGTATTGAAATCTCAGCTGCTCCCGTGCTTGGTTGGCGTACTCATCTCGCCTTCGGTGCTCTCGGGTAGGAAGCTCATGTCTCCGTCTGTAATATCGAGAGCTTTCAGTCGACCTCGCACGTTGCTGTGAACTGCCACTGCGAGAAAAATGCGCGACAAGCGACAGTTTCGCGCTTTTTTGAACCCAGCAACGTGGATTAACGTTACCCGTCGACATAGTGAGTGCCAGCTGAAGATACACGTTGACGAGACTGGATGCGTGGAAACGATGAAGCAAAGTTTCTGTACGCAGTCCGGCACTGAAGAGTATCGTATGCATTTACAATGGCCGGTCTCGAAGGATTAATAATAATGGTGGAGCAACACGTTTGCTGTCCGCCATTGCATCGGAGACAACATGTCATTCGCCGCGGCAGGTTAGCCGCTTATGTCATTCCATATAGAGGTGTCTATTGGCCAATTTCATGCAACAAGAAATGAGCTGCGCGCAAGAAAAGCAGCAGTGACTCGGCGACATTCGTTGTTCTCGGATACGTGGGTTCATTCTTTTGCCGCACTCGTAACATCATTACACGTCTGCGCGTCCATACGTCGTGGCCGCATTCGAGTGATGTCGAGACAATACGTGCGGGAGTCGTTGTTCTGTCCTGGTGTTGCGTCTATTGCGCAGCCGTTTGCACACATTCAGTCAAATTACTTGCGCTGCTTCATTGCCATCTATAGCAACTCTTGACAAGTCCAATGTGCACAGCTGGCTCAAGAGTCCTCCCAAAATCGGCGTCTTCTCGCCGTGAGCCGTAGAGTACATTGCTACAGCCGTTGTTCCAGCCGGATAAAATAGCACCGCATCGTACACGTCGTTGTCAGGCGATAGTACGTGGGTTTGCTGCACGAGGTTGCTTGTTTCTGCTACTAGTAGCACCCAAATGATATACGTGTGATACAAAAAGTGCCCACGCTACGGGGTCAAGTCTTTGTGTGTACTGCAAGAAATGGCGACATGCGTAAACGATTCTTTTGCCTTCAGTGTGGTGGTAGTTTCGTCGGTAGCTTTGACATGAGTGGGGGAATAATGCACTCACGCCAAAGCTCCCAACGGGACTACTCGGCTACATCGGGTCATCTGCCTGCTTTCTGCTGTAGTAAGCATGCAGAGCGCAAACTACCTCGTCCTTTGTCGGCCGAGAAGAAATACATAGTTTTGTTGTCCGAGTCGTCGAAAAGCGGCGTGTCACTTCACTTCCATTATTTGCGGACATAAAACTACAGTCGGAGTAACCGGAATATCACACGAAGCTGTTTCCAGCGGTACTCCCGACGTATCCCAGACACGTGACATTGCCATTTGCCCTCTGGGACAAGTACGTTCGCTGGCGATACTCGGATCGACTGACAATATTCACGCAGTCCTTCCGCCTGACAGGTTGTCAGAGCCGCACAGCCAAATTACGGCACAAAACATGATTTATGTCCGCATAAAACCGTCTAGCAAAAGAAAGCGCTTTTTGGCTGACCGTCGGAAAGCAAAAGTCAGAGTACTCGATCAACAACCCGAGAAAACGTCAACAACACGCCAAGATGTTCCTGGCCTTTCTTCGCTCTACTCTGACATCTACATCGAGGTCACCCGCCCCACTTCTGTACGTGACAACGACGTCCGCCCATCAACTTCGGCTCTTCTCTGCACCACCGCCGTCCGCATTGAAGCAGCGCCGTCCATCGACTGAAGCCACGACGTGACGACGCACTTTGCCTCGACCCGCCTCGTCTGATCGTCGGGGTGTCAAGCGCGACACGCTGCGTACCACACTGTGTCTCCACATGGGACACGCGGGTACGTGCGTACACACCAACTCTACTCGCCGGTGCAGGAAGCTGGTGGGAAGAGGATGAATGGGTTCTGTCGTATTACTCGACTTTCCCTGAAGCATTAGCACACACGGATCCCCACTTGAAATCTATTCATCAATTTTGGGGGACGCTTGGATGGAGCAAGAATCCATATATCCGGGATGCACGGGGCAGGCAGTTGCTCGGCTATACGTATGACCGGATCGTACCATGCACCATCTCGGACTTGCGTATTAGACGGACGGGGCCGTCCGAGTTTGTTTTCAGCATACCACTGTCCGGACAGCACGTCACCAATCATTCGCACCCCAAGCTACGACGATGGGCAACTGCGATATTACTGGCATCCCCACCTTTTCGGATCGGAACTGATTTAGCGCTCCAGCCTCAGTTGACACTTCGGCACGCTCCTCCTTTTCGGTATGACTATGACTGGTCGTCCGAAAGCCGGGGTCGCATATCTGGAGTGAGAAGGGGACACAAGGTTCTAGAGGAAGCTCAGGTTCACCTGACGCAGGCGGCCGACGGGTTTCGTTGGTTCTTTACAACAAGGCTTCCTGAACTAGCGACGGATCGTGAAGTGGAAAGGGCAACATGGCTTGAACAACTCCAGCAGCAGGGCGTAGTGTTTAACGCTCATCCTCGACATCATCGATTTCCATGGGCGGTCGCAGATGAGGTGCCAAATGCATCCATTCGCACAACACTCTCCCGTCTGTCATTTAAGCTTCACAAACGTCAGCTTTCTGTGGCATTACGTCCACTGCTGCAGCGTCTGGAAGCTGCCACCAGAACGGACACATGGCAGCGAGCTGTAGCGCACCAGCGTCCGTCTCAAGTTTGGGACCATGCACATGGGCTCACAGAATACCAGGTGTGGACTTGCTATCGTATAGCAACCATGCAACTCAACCTTTACCATGAAAATCGCAAAGACGACAATAGTTGTCGCGTACATCAAGCATGTCGAGGGATTCAAGAAACACAGGCCCATATATTCTGGGATTGCCCGAAGGCGCGTGCGTGTTGGGCAAAATTAATCGGTCATTGGACCGGTGAAACTGCGGCAGACCGATTTGGTACTTGCCAATATCTTGGCAGTGCCAATCGTCAAGCCCCAGCTATCTCACCACGGTTGAGACAACGGTTGCTCAAACGGTTCATGGAAGACGTCGAGGCAGGAGTCCACGTCTGGAAACGGATTTGGTTTCTTATGAGTACCATGTGCCTCACCCACTTATGGCAGGAGCGAAACGATGCGGTGTTCAGGGGAGTGCTGACTACGACATCGCAAAGTGTAACCCGTTTCTGGGAGTCAGGGATACGCCAACTCCTAGCGCTGGCCAAACGTGAACATCGCGGTATTAGTAGTGTCGTGCAAGGGGCTCTCTTGCACGCCGGCATCGAACTTTTTACCCAAGTACCTCGAGACATCGAGGTTTCTCTGGGTCATAGTCACGAAACTCTTCCGGATCCGGACTTGATTTCCTGGCTCAGGAGCTTTCAGACATCTTGTACATAATCACGTGTTAATAGACAGTCATGAAATCTCTCTCTCTCTCCACATGGGACACGAGAAGCCATAACGGTGGAAAAACGCTTGCG